CAATTTGGTAATGCAACGCCGCAAACGTCGGAGGGCCAGCTGCTAACCACGGAGGATGGCCCGTCAGCAGCTCCTGCATCTGCAGCACCTGACTTAGATGCTCTGATGATGATGCTGCAGAATCAGGCTCGCCGACAGGAAGAACAGGCCCGCCGACAGGAGGAACAGGCCCGCCGACAGGTGGAACAGACCCGTCGGTTGGAAGAGCAGCTGCAGCGCGGTATGGAAGAGCAGATGCTCCTCAGGAAGGACCTTCACGCTACCTTTGGGAAAGAGATAAAGGAGGTGAAGGATAGGGTTGCTCAACATGACAACCGCCTGTCGGAAGCTGAAACCCGAATCGACCAAGTGAACAATCGGGTTGACAACGTGATGGTAGACATGAAGAAAACGCTGGATGACCTCAAAATTGGGGATGGAGTTACAGCTCCCGTGGTAGCTACTACACCGTCGCTACGTGGATTCAAAGTACCACCGTTCGACGGGACTTCTTCCTGGTCGGCCTACAAAATCCAGTTCGAGGCTGTCATGAAAGCGAACGGCTAGAATAAAAGTCAGGCCATGACTGCTCTCACTCTAGGCCTACGCAACCAGGCCTTAACTGTTCTGGAAGCTCTCGGTAAGGAAGTGACTTACGAGCAGCTCCTTGAGGCATTGGAGGCGAGATATGGCGATGTTCACCTGGAACACGTCTTTCGTGCACAGCTCAAAGATCGCGTGCAACGCAGTAACGAAATCCTGCAGCAGTGGGCCCTTGAGGTGGAGAAGCTGGTTCGAAAAGCGTACCAGTCTGTACCTGCGCTCATTGTAGGGAACCTGGTGCAAACATTCATCGACGGCATCCGCGACCTTGAAGTCAGAGCTGCTGTGAGGCTCGGGCACTACGAGACGCTTAAGGACGCCTTGACCCATGCACTGGAGGTGGAAGCCGTGCGGCAGGATCATCATTCCCACCGCGTCAGGGATGTTGCAGCAGCTACAGTTCAGGACCGCAATAAGGGCTACAGCCCTAGGAGCTACGGCTGTGGGGAAAGCGGCCATCTTCGATCCAGCTGCCCTAAATGAACTGTAGAAAGGAAAGGTGATCGATCTCGAGAGGATAGTGTGGCTGACAGCACCGCCCAGCAGCAGCAGGGAAACTAGCGGGTGCTGGCTGATGTTAAAAGAGCCCCAAGGATTTCGATCTCACAAACCCGTGATGGGAACAGCCTAATCATCAAGGGCGAAGTCAACGGAACGCCGTGTAAACTGACCATAGATACTGGAGCCTCTCGCACGGTTGTCAGTTCCCAACTTATAAGTCGGTTCCTTGGGGACTCCGCATACAACCGAGAACGCATTAATTTGGTGACAGCCACCGGTCAGCGCATACCCGTCCGAGGAGATAAGGAGATGGAGTTGAAGCTAGGCAACATGATCTACCTGTATAATGTCATCGTGGCTGATATAATGGACGACTGAATCCTGGGCCTAGACTTTATGAGGAAGAATTGTTGTGAGATCGACGTTAAGCAAGGTGTTTTGAAATGTGGACAAGAGGAACTTTTCTTGGAAGGAGCGTTACCAGGGAATGTGTACAGCCTTAAGAAGATTGTTCTTCCGCCGAGATCTGAAACGATTGTGCCAGTTAGACTTCAACGGAATCCTGGGCAAACTCTTCGTTGTGTACTCGTGGAAAGGGTAGACAATGACCTTCCATGGAAAGTGGCTCGAACCTTGGTCAGAACCGCCGACATCTCAGGAGTACGTGTGCTGAACCTTTGTGATCAGGAACAGATTATAGAAAAAGGCACATTGGTTGGTACTAGTGAGGAAGTGGATTGGTTGCGTCAGTGCCAATATCTATCAACTGGGACCCCCAGCAAGGATGGACAAACTAGAGTAACAACACTTTTAGAAGACTGTCGCAGCGTTCTCTCCCCGAATGAAACGGTCAAAGCGAAGAAGTTGTTACTCAAGTACGCCAATGTTTTCTCGTCAAACGAAGCTGACATAGGAAAGACTGGCTTAGTTCAACACAAAATAAACACAGGACAAGAATTGCCTATTCATCAGCGGCCAAGAAAATTGCCTGTAGCACGTGAATAGGAAGTGGAAACCATGATTGAGGGAATGGTGAAGTATGGTGTTATTGAACCTTCATCTAGTCCATAGTGTTCACCTGTGGTGCTGGTAAAGAAGAAGGACGGCAGCATGCGGTTTTGTGTTGACTACCGCCGCCTGAACGACGTTACGAAGAAAGACAGCTATCCCTTGCCAAGAATTGATGACACGCTGGACATGCTTACAGGCGTAAAGTGGTTTAGTACGCTGGACCTGAAAAGTGGCGACTGGCAGGTTGAAATTGACCCTAAGGACAAGGACAAAACTGCATTCTCCACAGGAAAGGGTCTGTGGCAATTTAAAGTCAAGCCGTTTGGATTGTGCAATGCTCCAGCAACGTTTGAAAGGTTGATGGAGCTTGTACTTACCGGGCTAATTGGAGATGCCTGTCTGGTCTATTTGGATGACATCATCATCGTAGGCCGTACGTTTGAGGAACACCTTCAAAACCTGGAACGCGTGCTCATGAAGATCCAGAGTGCCAACCTCAAGTTGAGTCCAAAGAAGTGCTCACTATTCAAACGGCAAGTTAGTTTTTTGGGGTATGTAGTGTCGGAAGAAGGTATCCGCACGGATCCAGAAAAAATTGCCGCTGTCAAGGAGTGGCCGGTTCCAAAAGACAAGACACAGGTTAGAGCATTTTTGGGTTTGTGCTCTTATTATCGCCGATTTGTGAAGAACTTTGCAGATATAGCCAAACCTCTGCACAAGCTAACCGAGGAGAAGCGACATTTCTGCTGGGATGAAAGTTGCGATATTGCATTCCAGGAGCTCAAGAACCGTCTGTGCAAAACACCTATTTTGGGGTACCCTGATGCGGGCAAGGAATTCATAGTTGACACAGACGCAAGTGATATAGGACTTGGCGGTGTGTTGTCTCAACGGAATGGTGATCAAGAGATTGTGATAGCGTACTTCAGCAAGTCATTGTCAAAGCCGGAAAGGAACTATGGTGTCACAAGACGGAATTGCTTGCTGTAGTAAAGTCCTTGCAGCATTTTAGCAAATATCTCCTGGGGCGGAAATTCTACTTACAAACTGAGCATGCTGCACTGAAATGGTTATTGCAGTTCTAAAATCCGGAAAGACAAGTTGCGAGATGGATTGAACTACTACAGGAATACGACTTTGTGATCAAACATCGCAGCGGGAAATCTCATGGCAATGCAGATGCATTATCAAGAAGACCTTGCCCTGAAGATTGCAAGCATTGTACTAGGCAAGAGGGTAAAGAAGTGGTATCTGCAAGGATATTCAGGACAGACCAGCTCAGCAATGAATGGAAGGACAGCCTACAACAAGCACAGCAGGAAGATTCGGACATTAAGCCGATTCTGGAATGGATGAAGGCCAGTGCTCCTAAGCCCAAGTGGAGCGACGTCTCAGCAATGAGTTCGACCACGAAAAGCTATTGGGCCCAATGGGACAGCTTGCTGATTCAGGATGGAGTCCTGTGTCGTAAATGGGAAAATGGTCGGGGAGACAGGTGTCATTTGCAAATGGTTGTCCCTAAGGCTAAAGTGCCGGATGTTCTACAGCTGTACCATAGTGGTTGTTCAGGAGGCCACCTGGGAGTTAAACGAACTCTCCTGAAGATCCGAGAACGGTTTTACTGGGTCCACTGTCGTGACGATGTCGAGGACTGGTGCCGCAAATGTACAAGTAGTGCGGCTGTAAAGGGACCTCAAATTCGTAGTAGAGGCGCATTGAAATTATACAATGTTGGTGCACCATGGGAGAGGATAGCCATTGACGTTGCGGGGCCGTTTCCAGAAACTGAAAGTGGTAACAAGTATTTCATGGTTGTGATGGATTACTTCACTAAGTGGCCAGAAGTCTTCGCCATTCCAAATCAAGAAGCTTCAACAGTTGCAGATAAACTAGTTCATGAAGTCTTCTGTCGTTTTGGAGTACCTTTAGAGATTCACAGCGATCAAGGAAGGAATTTCGAGTCTCAAATATTCCAGGAAACTTGCAGAGTTATGGGTAATCATAAAACACGAACAACTTCTTACCACCCACAATCTGATGGAATGGTAGAACGATTTAATCAGACATTGGAAAGGTACCTGGCAAAAGTTGTGGAAAAACGGCAACGAGACTGGGACAGGCACATACAACCGTTTTTGTTGTCATATCGAAGCGCTATTCACGAAAGTACATCAGTGACACCAGCTTTCGCAAACTTTGGGAGAGAATTGCGGCTGCCTGCAGACCTGATCACCGGAATACCACCTGATGCCTCATGCAGTATAACCGATTATGCAAATGACTTGCGGAACAAAATGAATGACATTTATGAGCACGTCAGACAGACGGGCCAGCAAACGTCTGAGAAGATGAAAACACGGTATGACCGCAAAATGAACAACAAGGGGTTTGATGAAGGTTCACTAGTGTGGTTACACAATCCAGTTCGCAGCAAAGGGAAATCTTCTAAGCTTCAAGCTAAATGGGACGGACCGTACCGGATTGTGACAAGGATCAATGACGTAACCTACCGGATACAGAAAGGTGCCAGAGGTACTCCTAAGATTGTCCATGTGGATCGACTGGCGCGTTATTATGGTGCCAATAATGCTCGGGACGAGCATGTTTTAGGAGGGGGCAGTGTTGCGCGCCACTATTAATGTCTTGTGCATGGCAACACTAGTTACACTAGCGCCCTCTAGTGTCGAGTAAAAGAAAGTGTTGTGCGCCACTATTAATGTCTTGTACATGGCAACACTAGTTACACTAGCGCCCTCTAGTGTCGAGTAGCAGAACTAGGAGAGTCAAGATCCTTCCAGAAATTTCGGGACCGATATGTACTCGAACATTCTAGATGTCGCTACAGTAGAAAATTCTGGAAACTATCTGAGGCCCTATATAAGGCCGGTATAGACCACGACCGAGGCAGTAACAGTATTGAATTGGCGATACAAGAGAATACTTCGAAGCGAAATAACGGCGAAGTGTGTTTTATTATTAGTGTGATTTTAAGTTGTAATTAGTGTTGTGTAATTAAATAGTCAATTTTGGTAATTAACTCGGCAGTTTTTAATTATCTCGAATCCCAAGCGAGTAACAATATATATGTAGCAAGCTAGTGACTACATTAGGACAATTACTATACTCTTTGGACTACATTCACGGGTAGTGTTTCTATATAGTTTGTGACTACATTTAATGTACTCTGTGGGTCTGTGGCTTGTATTGTATAACTTTGTTTCCATCTACGCGAAAAATGGAAAGTAAAGTTAACCACAATTAGCTCCCGTTTCATACATATAATTTTTACTATGGAAGTTGCACCAGACTGCAACTGCATGCTACATATTTCGTAATCTGTGGATCACGAATCGCATTGGATTTTTGATAGTTCCCAGCCGTTTATTTTCCATAGCTTGTAAGTAGTGGTAAGTAGTTTGTGCAGGGTTTGTGCGACCTGGTTTTCTTGGTTCTTCCCAGGACAGAGCATTTTTCCGAACCAGTGTAATAAGTAAAAAAAAATACTCAAGAATTACATATGTACGCAAATCTTTAAATAATATGACGTCATGGACCTAGATAAAAGCCTTTTTTCTAGGTTCATGTATGACGTATGAATATTCTCGATAGTCTATTTTTATTAATTTGAAATTTATTTTGGTAGCTAACGTGATTGGACAGTTGTTTCCACAGAACACTAATACCCTGGTTGTTTCATGATAAACCATTAACTAAATAAATTTATGATCTTTGAATTCTCTATTTTATAATTGTAGTTTAATTATGAGCTGGTATACCAAGAAAGATGTGCTTAATGACCTTGCTCATGCCATGGGAGGCAGAGTAAAAGATCTTGAGGAGCAGTACATTTTGGTTGGGGAGCAACCCCCACCTCCCTGCAGATCTGGTGAAGAAGGTAATGTACTAAGTATTAATTCATGCTACCTATATACTAAATGAACAACAAGAAGGAAAAGGTTTTTGAAAGTTAACTTACAGAAAAAGAAAAACCGTAATGTATGTTATGTTAATATTATATAGAATTGATGAGTATTGAAGTCCTAGCAGTTGTCAGATTTTGTGCTATCAGATTATATGGCAGTTGAATTATTCATAGTGCTGCCAGATCTAAGAACCATTCAGTGGTTGTAGCTATATTATAAGCGCTATATTCAATAAAATTAGCACATCAAAAGTTTCAACTTTGGCCCATGAAGTAATGTTTAATTGTAAAGATTGTAGACATTAAATCAACATTAGTTTATTATAATAAATTTTTAAGCAATGGGATTCATCCTCATAAATTAAAGGGCAGGTTTTAAACAAAGGCTTTATGAGAACCAGAACAGTTAACATATCTAAATAAGGTTATTTCACAATTTGCATGTTGCACAATATTTTGGATAGGTATATATAAGTTTGTGCTGGATATATCTTGTGTATGGATAATCTTCCAGGACTTAGAATACTGGAATTGGTGTTACTGAAAAATACAAAAGGTTGCACTATAATTTGCATATCATATCTAAACAGCCAGATCTGTGTCTATTGAGTTTTGCACTAGCACCATTGAAATGGCATAAATTATCATGTCAAGCGCATAAATGGGTATTTTTTTATTTATCATAGAATTTATTACATATAATTGAGTGCTGCAAAACAATCGCCCAATAGAGTAAACTAGTTAATCAATAACAACTGGATCAACTGTTAAAATGCAAATGTTTTGAATGTCGATCTAGTGCAAACAGTCCCCAAATCAAAGATGTCTGGAGAGTTAATTCTGGTTTGTTACTAGGATGGAATAATTATCTTGACATCTTCTTTTTTTATAGGATAGAGTGACAAATGATCACACAGTCCACCTGATGGTAAGTGGTTACTGTGACTCATATACATCGACATCTATCCTCAATAAAGAATCAAAATGCAGATGCATTGTCACCCGTGAAGACTAAGATGGAATGTCTCTTTGCCAGTAAAAAGGTCTCCGGTTCATTACACTCACTACACGAAACACAGCAATGTTAAGCTACTATTTTATGTTGATATTCTGTGACAGTGGTCCTTCCCCGGTCAAGCTGACTCAATCATGCTATAACTATACTACTAATATAGCTGCAGCATGACTCTACCAGATATAATCTTCAGTATAAGTGAGTTTATTTATACAGTACATCCTCAATATAACAAATCTGAAGGGGATTAGAAAATATTCATTATACCAAGTAATTTGTTACAATGAGGTTTGTTATATAGAGGTTAGATTGGTCTAAGATTAGTTTTAGCAAGATAAGCAAACAAAAGTAAAACACATTGTAAAGATTGTGTTATGATAAATTGAACATGTTTAAACCTGTCCAGACATGAATTCTTGTAAGATGGATTGGTAGAATAGTTTATGCAGAGATTAAATATACTTTCTATTTTTATGTTTGCAATGATTGAAAAATCGTTATAGAGGTTTTTACAAAAGTTATTTATAATGTAGAGATATATTTTGTATTAACTCTTATAGCTGGTTGGTTCTAGGGGATTTCTAAAAATTTGTTAAATCAAGGAAATCATTATATTGAGGTTCGTTATACTAAGGTTGTACTGTAGTTTTGTAATTTAATTGGTACTCATAATTATACTTTTTTATATGTTATATCATATTGTTGTAGTGTTAGCAGTTATTAGTATAAAGTATGATGAGATTGGTATGTTGGATTGTATAAAGTATGTGGTTTCAATAAATATCCCACAAAGAAATAAACACACAACTCTTAAACAGTTTGATTGATTTAACAATTATATGTGTGAGGTAGGTCTTAAAAGGTTATGGACACTCAATCTCAAAATTCTATTTGATTAACATCTTATGCTTTAAAATAAGTTTGGTTATCTCATAAAAAGATACAAAAATAATACTGTTAGTAATAATAACTACCCAAGCTGATTAGGTGTACATATATTATTTGTGTTATGGTCTAGTTATTTCATACCTACACCACAGAATAAATAATAGCCTACACTGTGTTGAAAGATAACTTAAAAATATTACTTGAACTTGCAGTCAATATAATTAAACACAAAGTATAACAGTACAAGTGCTATACTTTGAAACTTAAGAGCATTGAGTTATGAAGTGTAATATATAAATCAATTGCTTAAGGCCTGCCACATACATTTTGATATTCCGATTCAGGATTCCGAACGCAGCCAGTCCTAATAAAATCTATGACCCGTCACACACGTACAGTAGTTTTTTGTTCGAAATTTTGCCGGCAAAACGGGATTCCGTATGTGTGTGGCCGACCCGTACGGAATTCCGAAACGGAATCACGAAACGGAATTCCGTATGTATGTGGCCGACCTAAGAGCATGACTCAACTCAGTTCATTGTTTACATCATTGTTGGTTTCAAATTTCAGTAAATGAGTAGCATACATATTTCTTAGAATATATTTTGTAATGTCTTTATCAGCATTATGAATGTGATTATTGTTATTCATACCATGTATAAATGTGAATGCAAAATAAATGAACATCATAATAATCTCCCACATATTTATGCAAATACTACTATTATGGATTTTATAACGTTTGATTTTACTTATTTGTTGTTCCCAACGTTCTTATTCTTCTTTTAATTAATGGCTTCCCTTGATAGAATTCTGCCAATGTTAACTAAAAACACCCAAAGTTTGGAGTGCTTTGCAGCACATCCTTAAGTAATAGTTAACCCAGAGTACCTTTAGCTTTTATTGTTATATATTATATTATAATTTTTTTATAAAATAATGTTGATAAAGCACACAGGCCACTAAATGATAAGTGGAAGCTGTGTTTCATACACATCTACATCTATCCTTGATTAAGAAATAAAATGCAGATGCGTTTTTAATTGAGGACTAAGATGGAAAATAAACAAAGATAGAGACATAAATAAATAGTGGGTGCTACATAAGGTTAGGGTTACCAGATGACAGGAATTTTCCTGACATGTCCGAAATTTTAGCTTTCTGTCAGGGAAACAGGAAAAATTTGAAATTGTCAAGAATTTTTAAATAGAAAGAGAAAAACATTAGAAGTACAAATTAATATATTTATTAAATAGTTTACACACAAAAAATAATAATATATGAATCAATCTCGAAGTTAAATTATTTCATTCATCTGATCTGGATCGTACATTTTATTGCACATGCGCCAGTTTTTACAGATATATAATATATATGTATTTAGAGGTATATAATATATTATTAGGAGAGCTGGTTTCTATATGTGGTAGAGCCATGTTGCAGCTATATTAGTAGTATAGTTGTAGCAACAATGGGTCGGCTCAAGCGGGGAAGGTCCACACTTTTACAGAACACCAGCGTAAAATAGCAGCTTAACACTGCTGTGTTTCGTATGGTGAGTGTAGAGGTCCCGTTTAAATATTATCGAAATCGGTCGAGTGGTTTAAAAAAATTAACAATAACTTATTTTTTATATTGATGTCGGTTACACAAAATTTTTAATTTCACAACTTGTTCTGAGTTGGAATGTTTATTTTAAACAAGTAAAAATAAACGTGATAGTAGAAACAATAACATAATTTAACATGTTTATTCGTAGTCGCGTGTATGTCAGCATGGGGATCTCATAATATTATGTAAGAAGCGCACTTTACGAAAGATAGTGTAGCGGCAAATTATTTTGTTAGAGACCTGGGAATGAAGACTCTGGGCAATGAAGAAACAGGGTGACAACACCTCTGCATTTTGATTCGTAATTGAGGCTAGATGTAGATGACTATGGGCCACAGTATCCACTTACCATAAAGTTAACTCTGTGCTTGCTTAATTTATTAGTCATATTGGTGATCGCGGTACAAAAAATCTTGTACCTTTGACGTTGGGCCGTCGGCTGTCTGAGATGGTTATACAAGTCGCGGCACGTAGTCTACCGCTGAACGAAACGTGGAGGGGACGTGCACGCATTGAATTGCACGAATGCGACTGGGGAGCCAATCAGCGCGTGCGAACGATACGCACAAGCCAATCAGCGCGACTTATGCGCAATAAGCCAATCAGCGATTCTTATGCGTAATGACGGTCACCGCTAGACTTTCATGCCGCTACTTATACTGTCATCTGTAGGAAACCACGTGATCTTGCTGGCATTACCAATTGTCGCCTCCTATGATACCCGCCGAACGAAATGGGGCGATTGATTCTTTTACACCGCCACCGCTCGACTTTCGTCTCCATCAGTTGTAAATTCTTCAGTCAATTATTCCAGGGGCTTAACGCTCGCTGTAAATTTCACAGTACGTGAGTAACCCGGGTTCGATCCCCGTCGGCACCAAATGAAATTGTTAATTGCAATTTTAAGTGCTGATTTACCACGTGTTCGGCGGTGAAGGAAAACATCGTGAAGAAACCGGAATATCTGAGAAATAAACTTCCTTGCTCTAAAACCCTCTCAGAGATGAGAGGCCTGTACCCAGCTTTGGGACGTATATAGGGTGCAACTTTACGTTGAGCTATGTTGGTATCTTTGAGGTCTCTACATGAACAATAGTAATATTATGTATAATTCTACTAGTCTCCTATCAACCTATTGTAATTTCAAAGCAGAGAATTTGTGCTCAATGATTAATTTACAATACTTTGGAAATGTATATTCCAAATCATTATTGTTAAAATTGGTCAATTAATTTCAGATGATGATGAATTATTATTACGATTACATGGCGCAATTGGAGGTAAGACAGATAACGAATTTGAAAATGGTCCAGACTTGGCCGGTATCAAGGAAATGCTGCGAATGGTAATTTTAATAGTTTTATCAATTTTTTACTTTTTTAGTGTATTTTTATAATTTGAAATTTTAAGATGTCCTGCGAGCAACTCTCTTAACTAAAAGAGGGTTTGTCTTACTCCTTACGCTTCAGGCGGATTGACGTTATTTTCACCAATCGGTTTACTGTTAGGTATTAATAACGACAATCCAGTCAAGTTAGCAAATATTCGACGGTGTTGCACTTCGCAGGTCTGGGTATTGACTGCCGTAAATGAGACGGTTATAGGTATTTATTTATATGAAGCTGTAATTTGGCGCGATTGGCTATTTCCATAGTCGCCAAGTATTGGGGATGCCACTAAAGCGTATTTAATCTATCTATACAAATAAATAAAATTGAAGTGTCAAAATAACAGCTTTTTACTAATTGCATATAAAAGTATATAGGGTACCTATAACAAAAAGATAATTTTTAAAATTTTTGTCTGTCTGTCCGTCTGTATGTCTATTTGTTCCGGTTGATCTCCGAAACGGCTGGACCGATTTCAACGGGATTTTCACTGGCAGATAGCTGATGTTATAAGGAGTAACTTAGGCTACTTATATTTTAGAAAAAGCATTAGGGTTCCGCGCTTCATTATTAAAAACCCTTAATTACACGCGGGCGAAGTCGCGGGGAACAGCTAGTTTTATACTAAAATTACACAAAATCAATTTATTATATAAAATAACAATCATTTTATTATATAAAATAACAACATTGATGAGAAATAATATGTTAACAAATAGAACTATTAATTTTTCGTCACTTTATACTTAACTTTAGTGTGGAAAAAAATCAAATTTATTATATATTTTAAGAAATCTAGTTAAACTTAAGGAAAAAAACATAACCTTTGCTTTTTTTTTCGGACTTCAAAAAAAAGGAGGTACTCAATTCGACTGTATTTTATTTTTACTTGAGGTACCTGAGAACATTTTTCTAGGTGAACCGACTTCGATGATTCTTTTTTTATTTGAAAGCTGGTACTTCTCATGTGGTCCCATATAAATTTGATCAAGATCTGACCAATGTTTTTGAGTTAATTATTTTATTTCAAAACTTTATTGTGGTAACGAATAAAAAGGTTACAAAGGGCGGACTTAATGCCAGTTAGCATTGTCTGCCAGTCAACCCATGGCGTGGTGAGAAATTAGTGGCAGGTGACTTAAGTAACTAAATACAATAAATTTATATAAATATAACACCTACTAAAATAAGGCTTATAAATTACACAAATGCATATGAATACAAACAAATACATAATAATCCATTATAATATTTTTTAACTTTTTATTCACTTGTTCAATTGTGGGAACTTTAGTTTTTCATAATCATAATCATTTATTTCGTGGATCATAGGTATTACATAGATGTTAGATACATTATTATATAATCAAGTTCAACAATGTCCTACCCTGTGAGCATACGAAGTACAATATTCATTTAAGGTACCTAAAAAAATAACAAAAAAATGGAACGTAAACAAAACATTAGTGGATATAGAATTTGAGAAAAGAGTTAAGTATGTTGGAAATCTAATGACGTCATAAATATATTGAATAATAACTATGTTTTATTATGTACATTTTAAATAATGACCTTGCAATATTTGAAACAAATAAATAGTGACACATTTCATTGTTTTTTTTTTTTTTCATTTAAAATTAATTAATAAATAGTATCAAATATAATGTAATAACATTTATATTTATGTTAACATAATTATGTTAAGCAAATTATTTATTTAATGGTTGATCCTGTGATTTTTTTTATAATTTTAACTATTGGGTATAAAAAAGTCATCACTAAAGAAGTTATTTAATTTATAAATAGGATTTGTCTATTAGGACACAGACAAGCGTTTTTTAAAAGATTTAACATTTTTTATATCTTTGATTTTTTTTGGGTATTTTGTTATAGTTTTGGCGCCATGCAAAATGCGCTTTTGTTAAATAACACTTTTATACTTGCATTTTATCATATCATCATCGCATTTTATTATAAAACAAACATAAATTTTTCAGGTCTATTTATTTACCATTTTTATTTACAGGTTGACAAATACCAAAGTCCTGACAGTGATGAAAGTGATAAAACCAGTTTTCAGAATAATACCTGTACTATGATTACAATAAGTAAATTAAATCCTGATGTACCAGACTTTGTTCCAAAGAGCAAAAGTACAGTAAATGTTAATGTAGAGACGCATGCAAATCAAATAGACGAATTAAATTCTAATGATAATAATAAAATGAATAAACTCGAAGTATCTGCTTCTAAAGCAAATATCACTGAAAAAAATGACCCTGATAAACTTAAAGAAATTAGTCAAAAGCTGAAAAATAAAATATCTAGTCCTTCTAAGTCAGATTGCCTGAAAATTAAAAGAGAAAGGAATTTAGCAATTTCAACACTTTTGAAAATTCATTCGAGTGCTCCTGTATTAGATGCCAAAGGTGAAAATAATTCTCCTAAGTTAGTTACACCTTCATATTTTGAAAAGCCTTGCCCTACCGAGCCATTGAATTATAAAGCTTCTCAAAATGGCCAGAAAAAGTCTGTATCAAGTACATCTTCATTGTCGAAAGGAAGCATTGAAAATGTGGTTTTAGATAGCAAAATTAGTGGTATCAACCAAGAAGTAGAGGAATCTGTTGCAAAGGTAAACAATTGGTTAAACAAGGATGACAAACCGACACCAACGGGATCAGCATTGTATTTAGGTCCTGTGACCTTTAAAAGGAAGGAGAAAGTCAAGCCGAAAACTCCTGATACATCTGACAAGACTGCTGCGAATAAAACAGTTGCTGTTCCGTTTGTACCTTCGGATTATGTAAACACATTAACTCAAAGTTATATGGAACGTATCAAAGCTAAGGAGGAGGAAAAGCCAAAGGGCATATGGACAGATATTCTAAAACAGTTAGAAGCTAAGGATGAGGAAATTAAGCGCCGAAAGCAAGAACAAGAATCTGCTTCAAGTTCTCCAAGTACTAGTGGAGTAAGCATAAATTCGGATGCTATCGATGCACTTAGTAGTTGATATAGTAGTGAAAATAGTCTACATAATATGTTGCGATAGCAACATTCAACATCAGATGTGTGATATCATCTAAATATATTTACCACTTATTTTGTAGTAAACAAAAGTAGTTATATCTCTATATAAGCAGTAGTAGTAATATTTACCAGTTCTTAGTGCTGTGTAACACAGCACATTAGCGGCAATCGCTAAACGGAGCGGGACCATCGTGCACGACTTGACTAATCTCAAGCTGTTAATGAATTGCTCAGTCTTTCTGCCTCCTACTCCATCGTCTGGCGTCTAAGTGGTCTTTTGGGCTGTGCTGCCTGTTATCCCAGCATTCACGAATCTTTGCATCTTCGAAATCCCCAAGGTCCGCTACGTACGTTCCAACTCAAAATATGATGGCAATATGAACGGATAAGATAAAGACGCTGGCACTGTCTTCGCGTAACGTTTGTCAGTGTCACTAACTGCCTTTTCGGGTGAAGGTCTGGTTATCCATAATACAGGTTTGTGCCTAGTTTGGCACGTAAAATCGATGGGCCTGCGCCTGATCCCTGATGAGAGTGAGGGAATAGAGAGAGCACCTGTGCTTGCGCACATACTCGTGCAATATAATCCTGTCCTGCGCAGATGACTTGGCTCCATTGCGACTGTGACCGTGACCGATATTCGGTCAGGCGGCCATTATTATTATTATATAATAGTATTAGTTAATAATGTAAAGAAATGTTATAGACAACATTATCATTCAATGATAAATGCATATTTTTTATATTTATGTTTTTAAGTCCTTATTTTATTTTATTCAAAATTTTAATGTGATACATGAGCTTTATTGGCGCCATTGTATTAAATGGTCAAAACGAAATTTGGCTACATTATTTATTTATGTATTGTATATTAACTAAATAGTCTTACTATTACATACAAGTCCATGTAACAAACTTGATGATGTTCCAATATGTTGTAACTGCCCTTACATAACTAAAACTAACACAATAAAATATTTGGGAATTATAATTGACGAAAAGCTTCAGTGGAAACATCAAATAATATCACTTAGTAAAAAGATAAGAAAGCTTGTCTATGTTTTTAAGTTACTAAGGCTTGTAGCAAGTCCAATGTTATTGTTGCAAACTTACAGGACTCTCTGTGAGTCTTTAATATGTTACGGTATCTGTTCATGGGGCGGGGCTTGTAAGACAATTCTCGTCGAAGCTGAACTTGCCCAACGATGTATTTTAAAAGTAATGCTATTGCTTCCATTTCGTTATCCAACTACACTAGTGTATGAAAAAGCCCGAGTACTAAGCGTAAGAAAACTTTTTATCTATCAATGCATACGAAGGTACCATCGTATAACTGCACCATGTATCAAAATTCAAAAGAAAAGGACATTCAAATACCCGACCCCTAGAACAAGAAGTATTTTTGCGAAAAGACACTATAGTTACATTGCCCCGCATTTGTACAATAAGTTATACAGGGAATTTAAATTAAACTTAAATAATTACAGTAACCACCAAATAAAGGCAAGGATCAGAGTGTGGTTAGAGAATCTTGATTATGACAGCACAGAAGCACTTATGCCGTAGGTTTACCACAAGCAATACTCACACACATAATATATTCCAACACACACACACACACACACCCACTCACACTTACACACACATCAACACACGAACAATTACACACACACATACACACACACACACACACACACACACACACACACACACACACACACACACACACACAAAACAAGCGCTTAAAATAACATTTTTTTTAAATTTCTTATTTATATTTCTTTACTTTTCTAAATAATTAAATTATTATTATTATATAGAAATTGACCTTTTAACAAGGCTAACTTTAAGGGGAGGAACTGGTTCCTGAAACACAGTTATACTAGCTCAGGGACCAGGGAATCAATGAATATATGTAAAAAAGGTTGTTATTAAATAAAATAAAATAAAAAATAAAAATTAAACATGTGTTCCGCTTATGTAGTACATAATATGAGTATATTATAAATGCATAGACATTTGTCCTAAAGTCATATTGTTATTTATAAGATTGCGGACATGTAATGGACAACATCAGTTAACAGATGTCCAATAAGTCTGAATTGAATAAATGATTTTCATATTTTGCTCATTTTTTTTTGTTTTCATCATAACGTTTTGTATGTGGTAGAGCCCCGCTGCTACTATATTATGGTTGTAGCATGAATGGGTCGGCTCGACCGGGTTTGAACCACACTCACAGAATACCAGCATAAAGTAGCAGCTTAATGCTGCTATGTTTCGTATAGTAGTGAGTCTAGGGAACCGAAGACCCTTTTTACTGGAAACAAGGCATTACATCATTGTCCTCAGGGATGAAATGCATCTGCATTTTTTTTAATTGAGGATAAATGTAGATGTCTATGAGCTACAGCATCCACTTACCATCAGGTGGACTGTGTGATGGTTTGTTATACCTTTATTCATAAAAAAATAATTGTGTATTTATTTTACTGAAACCTTTGGGATACGCGGTTGGTGTAATCCGATATTCTTATTTTGATGAACCCAATAAATGTATATTTATTTGGTTTATCAAACTTAATTGTGTTTGGATGGTTTTGGTAAACTTTATATACCTATCCTTTAAAATAAATGTTTTATTTTTCTAATACCTAGTCAGGTCATAAATTCTGTCACATGTTTAATATAAAATGATTGAAACAAGTTTATTCATTATGTAACCATTTATATACCAAAATGAACTTAACAAAACATAGATTCTTATGACACTAAAGTTTATTCAAAATGACCTCCGTGATTTTGAATACAGGCCTTCAATCTGCGCGGCCAGTCGTCTATCGCAGCACGAACGAGGTCCATGTCAATATCGGCGGCTGCCTTAATCAAGGATGTCTTGAGTGACTCCAAATTGGGATGAGGCTTTGAGCACGCCTTTTCCTCCAAGTGTTGCCATATCTTGTAATCTAACGGATTCAAATCTGGACTGGAGGAGGGCCAGTCTTCGTGCCGGATGAAGTCGATTTTACGCGCCGCCAGCCAGTCTTGTGTGCTCTTCGCTCTATGAGCCACAGAGTACATTATATATAGCTATGAGCTGGCGCCGAATCTTGTTGGAATATCCAGTGCCTGTTATTGAACATGGTATGAGAAACAGGTTCCACAAGGTTCGTCAGGACTGTATTTTGATACGTAAATGTACCTCTGTTAAGCCCCAATAAGAAACTCCCAACCATACCATGAGCGAGGATGGAAAATGACCTCGTTGGACACGCGGAATACGGTTGCTCGTTTCTTCACTACTGTGTGCGTACACCTTATCATTTTGTTTGTTGTAGCTCTCTTCTACGGTAAAAACTTTTTCATCCGAAAAAAGAATTTCCCGATATTTTTTTCCCGCGTACCGCTGCAACAAAGCGCGGCATCTCTTCAGTCTCAGGTCCATTAGACGAGCATTCAAACGATGTCCTGTTTTTCTTCGATATGCCCGAAGCCCTAAGTCTTCATTTAACACCCTTTTCACCGTGGTTCTGCTTAGCCCCATCTGAAGGGCCTACAGTTTCTGCTTACGTTTGGGATTTCTTTGAATTCGCGCCTTCACAGCTTTTATCACTGCTGGAGTCCTAACAGACCGAGGGCGACCACTTCTTGACCTGTCATCTACACTAGAGTCTTCATTGTATCGTTTGATGGTACGATAAACGAATCTTTTGGTTATATTCAAATTTTTCAGTATGTCAAAAATTTGAATTGGCGCGTAACCGCAACGATGCAACGCAATAACTGCAACACGGTCTTCTTTAAGTGTCCACTCCATATTTAAAAATGAGTAAAATTCTAAAAAGTATACAGTTTTATTTTCATGAACAATTCGAAATTCGAATTCAATAAACTTTTTTGTGGCCAGCATTCTAAAAGAAAAGTTTTTACTGTGTGACAATACTTATGACCTGACTAGGTATATAAGTTTTCTTATTGGTTTGTATGATCAAAATGCAGCGTGATGGCTTTGTAAGAGAATCCATCACACCATATTATCCGACTGGTATCTTAAAAGGAAGCTTACAACCTTAATACCCAGATAGAGACAAAGAGCCGCCATTAAGGGGCTACTCCATACGAACGACCTTGAGCATGTGGCCGGCGCGCCGATCGCTACAATATATTGCGTAAGAAATAT